TGATCGTTTCATAAAGAATGGTAACGTTCAAAACAATTTCCAAAATGCATAGCTGGTTGATTTTGACATGTTTTACAATAAAATGTTGTTTGCCGCCTTCCTCCTGGTGCTTTTCTGTCAGAACAGACAATACAATCCCTTTTTCTTTTAGAATTCAGAATATGCCATTGATTAGTCAGTATATTTGGTCATTTTTTGCTGCCATAATGGTTTATTTTTTCTATTATATTGTCTAATAATGCATTTATAAAATATAAAGTAAAATAATCAATTGGATGACTTATATGGCTTTGAATTTGTAGTCGGGGTGTTTGCTGATATATGTCAAACTCGATTATTGAAGGAGAATCGGCACATTCACTAATGTCTTCCCGCTCTTCATTTATTTTGTCGAACTTCTTCTTTTTGTTGGTTGAATAATATCATCATCACATTCATCGCTATCATCGGTGCGAATAGTAATTTCGTAACATTTGTCTGTATGAATGTCTATTTACTAAATATTAAAAAAAGACCATATAGCAAAGAAAAAGGCTAAAAATACTACTAAAATAACTTAAAATTATTTTCAAAATACAATACTGTTTATCACTGCTATATGTAATTTATTCAACTTGTCGATGCAAACTGAGTCATTGTTTATAAAATAGCCTGTGCCTCACAGAGTATGTTTGTCCATTGAGGAGGACAGCCATCCCCAAAGTGTTAATATATTTATTTACTTTTTTCACCGTGAGAGTCGTGAAATTGGATTTATACAGATTCTTTAAAATTTGTGAATCATTTTTTTAGTTTTAGAACAACGAACTATGCAATGGAAGAACTGAACAATTTCTCCTCTTGTTATTTCGCAAATAGGGAAACCCATTTATTATATATTTACTATTGACTTCACAATCCATCCAGAACTTTATTTTAAATTTGTCTGGTTCATTTGGTATATTTTATATAAGCCTGCACCTACTACCCTCCAAATAACATTATTTTCCACCGGTCAAATTGACCGTTTGCGGAAAGTTAGTTTAGTATATATATTATTAACAAATTTCAAAAATTATATTATATTATTACTATACTAATTCATTGTCCTTTATCTATTTCAGATATTAGCATCATGTCTGCTCGCCCTGGCCGGCCATTCGCTCGCCGGCTATTCCCAGCAATACCAGTCCCAGGACGGGCACGGTTCGTACGCCTACGGTTACGCTGATCCCAACTCGCAGAAGACGGAGCACAGGTCGCACGACGGCACGACACACGGGGAGTACTCGTACGTCGACGGGGATGGAAAATTGCAAGCGGTCAAATATGTTGCAGATCATGCAGGTACAAATTGGAAGATGAATTTTAAAAACATGTTCAAATTGTATCAGGATAAGAAATAAAAAACGTGCATATACTCTATTCCGATTTTAGTACAAACTAGCAAACCCGACGAACTCCGTTTCGCCACCAGATGGTTTCGTGAGAAAGATGAAGAAATTTTTTGTTTGTTTTATATTTGAAAAAGAAAAATTTGATTTTATTGCACAACAGTAATGAATTTATTTCGATTACAAAAATGAAGTGTTTTTTAGTTGAACTTCTCTAATTGTAAGTAAATAAAAGTGAATCCGCAAATTATCCGTTTCATTGAAGTGCTCTTTGGTAAACCACATATTTTGTTTTTTGGTATGAGGTTAACACAAACAATGCGAATGGTTTTCCAACTCGTTAACAGGCAACGTATAACTGCCCATGTGAAAAACAATGATTTTCTAAATAATCTATTTGAAATTTATCCCGCAAACACTAAGCGATTGGCCTTGCGACTTGTTATTGCGAACGTAAGGCAAACTGGAAATTGCAATCGTTTGAAGTCAAACGGAAGACCAGTCGGAATCATTGGTATGTCACCAAATTGCCAGCAATTTTTGATTGAATGGTGAAATTCAGTGGGTTGACATCATTATTCTTTGCGGCAAGAATTGCTAGTTGACTTAACCAAGCATAATTCTGATAATTCTCACTAATGTCATTACTCGAATATTTAATTACGGTGCATGAAGTTCCAGCAATTTGCATTAGGGCACGATGCCATGCACTATATATATATATATATATATATATATATATATATATATATATATATTATAATCATTATATATTTTATCGTTCATAAAATATACAATGACGATCTTATCGCTCAAAACACTTGAGAAAGTTTACATTAGCAAGAGGTGCCGAATAAATCCATCTGAGGATATATTTCTTACGATTAGAAGAACGCTTTTGAAATATACTCGTATACATTTTCAAACTGGTTTGTAAATTTGAAATTCATATTTTAAGTATAAAACTTTGTATATTTTTGAAAATTTTGAAAAGAAAATGTTTCTAAAAATTTTGAAATTTTGAAATTATAAAAAAATATTATAAGGAAATTGAAGACAAAGAAGACTGAAGAATTATATAAAAATATTTTAATTATAATAGATATTATATTAATGAAGTAGTCAAATGAAAAGTATATAAAATATGAAAACTTTTCATAATCTCTCATACCAGGCACTTCTGTCTGTCTGAGATTGCTTGAATCATATAAGTAAACTTTAAGAATCAACAATCTTAGTACGAAGCCCAACAAAATTAGTACCCATTTTTTTAAATTTCATCAAAAACATCTGATAATTTGATGTGCATATGTCTAATGATCATTTTTGACCGCCAAAATATCTTTTTTTTTTGCTTCTTCTGTATCTCAGAAACCGCTAGACCTGCCTTTACAACTTTTCATTTCGTCAATACAAGTAAAATGTTTTTTGAATCATTCAAATCGGATACTCTTAAAAACTGAATTTGTGTTTTCAGCACTTTTTGCGCCGTATCTTCGAAACGGCTGGACCTGTCTCCACCAAAAACTAATCAGCATATCTCCCCATCAGTAGCTATCGAATGTTTTTTGAAGCATTCAAATCGGTTGATTCGTGCGCTCGAAATCGTAGACTAAAATTGTATCCACAAATACACACATACACACAAATACATACTTTTTTTTAAGGTATGCCAAACTGTTCAGAAACCTTCAAAACGTGAAGATATGCAAAAATTTCCATTTTAATTTTTTTTGCGATTACTGTCACTTACTCTACGAAAAGTTAATTGTAAGAAGAATTTTAAAGACAATATAAGATTGTATCATTGCCTTAAGCATGATAATAAATTTTAAATAATGAATTTGAGTGAGGACGTCATCTGTAATCAGTAGTTGCCAACGAAACACAACAGTACGTACATATGCTTTGGCATAGAATCTGATTAGAATCGCTTAAACGAGTTCAAAACTGTAAAGTTTGATGATTGCTTATACGCTTATCGTAGGCCTATAATATTTTAGTATGCTAGTTCAGACCATAAAATCTATCATAATACAAAGTTATCTTCAGCAAAAACCTCATCGGGCCGATTATCAACTGATATCTTTCGAATGGTTTTGAAGTTTTCAAGATCGATTGAAGATTTTTTGCGAGAACGTTTGACAAAAAAAATTACATTTATTTGCCTATTCTAAAGAAACTACTGGCCGATAGTCTTGTAAAACTAATAAACACCTCAATTCAAACACCTTAATTCTCAAATTTCATCGGTTTGCTGTTGAAGTTATGCAATCGGTGCAGTTGTTTTTAAGATGACGTCAACGAAAGGTCAAAAATCGACTCCCATACACACATATACTTTTTCCAAATTTTATCCCAATCGATTCAGAAAGACATGAAACGTCGAGAAAATATGAAATTATCAAGTCGACTTTTTTCTGTGAAAGCAAATTCCTTCAAAAAGTTACCCAGACGAAGCTACCAGAAATTGATTCGTAGTAACCTTTACTGATCAGTAATGCATTCAAATGCTTTCTCAGGTGATTGGAATTGCAAACAGCTCGTGTACGACAGCAATTTGCGCTTTTACAGTGCAAATTTATCTGCGGGCGTAATTGACGGCAAAATAATTGGCATTTATATGAAGGCGCGTGAATTACTTAATGAACGATCGATAGGAATAGAACACTTGCAATAGTTTGCATATATAATATATCGTCAATGAGATAATATTTTATCTACCGGTCTTAGAAGAATAATCGTGTTGATCGATAGACCGACACTTCCAGTAATCCGATATCTTGGCGACCGTACTTTTTGGAGATTTTAAGGATATTTCCAATATCATATGTGTAAAATTTTGACATTCACTATAATCCAGTAATCCGAACATTTCAGTAATCACCTAATAATACTATATATATAAATATATATATATATAAATATATAAATATATATATATATATATATATATATATATAAATATATATAACAAAAAAACATGCAAAACTTACCAAATAGTCTATGCCAATGTGCCAATCATCCAGTGCCCAATGGCTGCTCAATAATTTCATTACATATACCACGTGTAGGTATTAATTAAATTTGTGTTGTAACAAACAAAGTTCAATTAAATGTCTTAAATATAAACTATTTAGAACATAGAACACTAAAGGATATCAAAATTATAATATAAATCAATAACTTAAAATCATAAAACATCACTTCTCACGGCTAACCTCAATTCCAAAGTTCATACCAATTTCTTCATTCCTGACTATAGTAAAAACCACTAGTTTATAATAAGTTAACTACTTGTTTGTATTCACTTGAAATAAATAATATCTATAAATTAAGCTCTGAAGAATATGAGAGCACATTACGATTTACGACAATACCAAATGACCAAAAATAATATATTAATACTTAAGAACTGCAAACCAAATCATCCATAAACATATCAAATATCGATAATAGTGATGTACTGAATTATTCAATATATATTATGTCACTTTGTAAGAATAGAAATCACTGATTCTCAAACTATGCTATCAAAGTTTATCAAAAATACTTTTTATTGTTTTAACTTTTATTGTTGTCAGGCAGCAGTTACAACGATTTTCACTTGAAAATATAGATAGCAATATGTTTCCAAGTGAAAATTGCCCTTGCCCGGTATTGCTGCACCAATAAAAAGTCAGCCCTATTAGATTAATTCTAATAACAAACTCATCAAATATAAATGGATTAACCATTGGGTTACCATCTAAAAATACGAAGTAAGGAGAAGTTTAAGCCCAACAGCTCATAGAACGTAAGGTTCTGATTGCTGTTCAAATATTCAAAAAAAAACTTTTATTTACATCACTGATGTTGGATGCTATTTTCATAGGGCCTCGTTTAGTCATAAAATCATGAAGATCAATATTTTGTTCACACAGTTTTGATCACATAGTATACCTGAATATTTTGAAACTCACTCCGATAATAGATAATATATAAAAAATAGATAATATATACGTTCATTTATATAATTTGAAATTTTGACTGCATGAAATATTTTTTTCAAATTTCGTTCTAAATTTTGCATGCTCGTTTGACTTATATTCTATTCTAATAAAAATTATACTAATTATTAATCACTGGGCACAAAAATGTGAAAGATTTATATTTATAAAACTTCGCAAAAGTTATATATAAATATTTCTTAATAAAAAGTCCTATAAAAATATTTCTGCATTAAAAATTATAGCTTAAATAATATTTTGTAAACACATTACCAAACAATTTGTTTGCGATTCTTAGGTCGACGTGTTTATTAGCGCGTAACGCCCAGTTTCTTCGAATAAAAAAGTGCACCTTACACGCATAAATTTAAATATTTCCTAATAATCATGACAAAATATTAGAAAGATAAAAAAAAAATTATTGAGTATTGCACATTCTGACAATGACATAAATAAACAAACTCTGTATCTATGTAAGAAATTTGTTAAATCACAATTTTATTTACCATTAGGTTATCATAGTTTCACAAAGTAATAAGAGTGATTCAAAAAAATATCATTTTTGAATTTTTATGATATGAATTATTATTGCAGTTTGAGAACAATAGAATTAAAATAAAATTATTTTTTAGGATTCCATGTGGCTGGAACAAACCTGCCCCAGGCTCCCCAACAACACGGAGGTTACCACACTGGCGCTGCCCTTGTTCACAGTGGCGGTCATGGTTTATACCATGGTCCACATGCAGCCATAGGACATGATGGTAAAATAATTATTTATTTTAAAAATTTATATTAAACTCGCAAAACTGATTCATGCTTTTGATTAAATATTGATGAGCAGTAAATTAAGGTTATTTATGTATCAGCAATCCTTGTTGTACATTATGTTTTCTATTTCTATATTTCTTACCCAGGTCATCCAATCGAAACCCCAGAAGTCCAGGCAGCCAAACACGCCCATTTCAAAGCCCATGCTGAAGCAGCAGCCGCAGCACACTATGGTCCTCACCAGTACCAAGCCTATGCACCACATTACGCAGGAGCAGGATTCGGAGGCCACTACCAGCACGCAGTTGCTTTAAGTGCACATGGAACGCCTGTTGAAACACCAGAGGTTCAAGCCGCCAAACACGCCCATCTGCAGGTTGGCATTTCGATAAAGCAATATTCGAATATTTGAATTTATTATCGAAGCCGATCCCATTGTGGATTGTGGGTGGTTAGAAAATTTAGAATTGTCGGTCAATGGATTGCGGTTTGATTTATTTTAGATATGGGCTAGACAATATAATGGCAATAAAATGTCTTTTATCATGAGAGAAACAATTATATTGCATATTCAATCCTCTTGTGCTACCAAACATTTGCTAATGTTTCAGCTATTTAAAAAAAAACTCATTTAAAATGTTGTCTAATATTCACATTTTTTTAAATTTTGATGATGCAGTAGTATTACATGCTCATTTTTTAATTGGGATTGCCCTTGGGTAAGCGGTTAAGAGCAACGGGACTTGTTTCAGAGGTCCCGGGTTCGATGCCCACTTCGAGCAGCTTGTTGTCAGGCAGTAGTGACAACGATTTTCACTTGGAAATATAGATAGCAATATGTTTCCAAGTGAAAATAGCTCTTGCCCGGCATTGCTGCAACAATAAAAAGTCAGCCCTATTAGATTAATTCTAATAACAAAAATCATCAAATATGGATGGATTAACCATTGGGTTACCATCTAAAAATACAAAGTGAGGAGAAGTTTCAGCCCAACAGCTCATAGGACGTAAGGTTCTGATTGCTGTTAAAAATATATATTTTTTTTTTTTTAATTACAAATAAATTTTAGCCATAAGAAGTAAAATTACGCTTACCAATTTAACATTCTATTTAAATATTATTCTTCCAGGCTCATGCTGAAGCAGCGGCACAACACTCCTATGGAGGACATGGAGCATGGAGGAGGAAAGAGATCTTTATGGAGCTGGTCATGGAGGATATGGAGGAGCTTTAGGTAATAGCGATGAGATTATTAGAATTCACTTGAATAATATGGACATATGTGATAAAAATTGTGTTGTATAACAGGATTCCAAAGCCACGTTGTACACACCGGCGGATATGGTGGTGGTCATGGAGGATACTATCACGGACCCCAAGCTGTCATTGGACCTCATGGTAAAAAATCAAAATTATATATAAATAACTCAGTTTAAACTTTAATCATTGTTAACTTTATTGTCTTCACAATACTGTGCATTTTCTCTCCTGGCAGTGTCTACTATTAAATATTTTTACCCTCTTCTTCTAGGACAACCTCTTGAAACTCCAGAAGTAGTTGCTGCTAAACATGCTCACTTTGCTGCCCACGCTGAAGTTAAAGCCAACTTGCACGCAGCATCAGCTGGACACGCATACGGTGGCGGCGGTTTTGGAGGAGCTTACCATGGTAAACCAAATTAGCATTTCATTATAATATAATAAATAGTTAACGACCACATTTTAACCATTTTCTTCTTTCATCCTTCAGGTGGATACCTCGCAGCAGGTGCAGGAGGTCATTACGGAGGCTACCACGGTGGCGCAGTTATCGGCCCCCATGGAACTCCATTGGAAACACCAGAAGTAGTTGCTGCCAAACACGCTCATTTTGCAGCTCATGCTGAAGCCAAAGCACGCAATTACCAAGCAGCAATTGCTGATGCCCATAGTGGTGGACACGATGGCGGTTATTACGCTTATGGTGGACATGGACACGGAGGATGGTAGAGGAAGAACAAATGGAAGACTTGAACAAAATAACGGACTTAGAACATCATGGACTACTTAGGCTGATGGATATAAAAACATCTAGATCTTCCAGTCACAATTTTGTAGATAAATTATGTAGTTCTTGTTGAATAAAAATATTGTCATGTAAGAAAATTGAATTTTGAAGGTTAGCAACATTAATGCTAACTACTTTTCTAATTGCCAAGTTAAATATCGGGATAATTTTAATTCACTCACTTGCTATAAAGAAATTTATTTAGCAGAGCAGAGTGTGTCAGAAATGGCAACCACATGGTTGACTAACTGAATAAATTTCTATTAATCAAAAATTCAATTTTTGAAACAATATTTTATATACCTGGAGTTGTAAAGGACTGTGGAAATCACACAAATAAAAAAATAATGTCATTTTTAGTCTATAAGTCTAAATAGTCTATGAAAAATATATCATATGTATACGATGATGAGTGTTGAAACTGCAATGAATAATAACAACTTGTTTAGAACTAAAAAATGAAAAATATCAAAAATGTGTTAATTAGATATAGATATATGTTAAGATAATATAAGATATGAAATTATTAAAAATATGTTTTGATAAAAATATTTATACTTTTATTGACGTCCATAAAAGACAATAATTATTGACAAAAACTTATTACAGCAGGAATCCAAACGCATTTTAGATTTCGAAATGTTGGAGTAAATAGAAATTGTTGAAAGTTTAATCAGGAAGTGGTAAAGTAATACATTAGTTTTATGAAGTAGGTTAATTTCTACTTTAATGAAATTATTTCCTGGTGCCTTCTACTAAACATCACAATTTTGACTATAAACGTTGAAATTAATGTTTCATTTAATTTAGAAGACTTCCTTCTCTGAATACTTTTAATAAATAACTGCTAATAAATTAATACATTAGATAAATAGCAGCAAATTTAATATTCGTCGAAAAAATCTCTAACAACCGATATGACTTTGAACAAGTTTTAATTAAAATCTCAAGGTTAAATTAATATTTTTATAAAAAAAATTATAATATTTCAATATTATGTGCCTAATATTATTGTTTCAGACTGCTCAGACAATCAGTTTCTTTCATATTTAATCTCTTACCATTTATGTAATTAAATGAAAACAGATTTAACGAATAATTTTTATATACCCTGAACATCTTTTCTGGACTTGTTATAAGTTTGTGAGAATTATGACAAAAAATCTGCTAGTCCAGAAATGCAAATAAGTTGCAATTAGTTTATATCTAACAACTCAAAGTGCAATTTCACAACAAATGTACTTATATTTAAATAAATTTAAAGCATATAAGTATAATCATTGCAGAGTTTAATATTTACATATATAATAAATATTTATTTTTAGTAACGATCAAGCTGAAATTGGAAAATGATCTTGGAGAAGTTTAATAGTCATAATATATATTTCAGAATGACAGACATTTTATATTTGAATTGGATGTGATATACGAAAATTGATTAAACGCTGTTTATAAGTATTTAATCATTATATACGAATGCTATAGCATCCACGTCAAGTAATATGCTTCTATTTCACGCAACGTGCTTGCCCAAGCTAATTAGTGAGTGCGGACAAAGATAATACGAAAACTCCTAAGGGGGCGTTCATTAATCACGTGAGGTTTTTCGGGGGAGGAGGCTTTGACAATAAATCACGATATTACGTGTATTTATTTTTTAACTATTTTTTAAAAAAAAGTTCAAACATTTTCAAAAAAAAACAAAAATTTTACAGATTTTTCACGTAACTGAAAGTACACGTGATGTTTAGCGGGGGAGGGGGGTAATTTTGATTTTACGCTGGAAAAGATTGGATAAAGAGACTGCTGGAAAAGATTGGATAATACGAAAACTCCTAAAGTCAGTTAGTCATTACCTGAACATGCATAATAATCGCAAAAAAGTGAGGTTATATAAAATTAAATTCAAAATATTTGATTCAAAATCTTGAATGCTTTAGCATTCATTATTCAATTATCCAGAAAAATTCAGTAAGAGGCTAAAATTCACATATCGCTGAATAATTTAGGAGGCGTCTATTAATCACGCGAAGTTTTTAGAGGGAGGGGGGTTTGACAAAAAATCACAAAAAATCACGTGGGGGAAAGAGGGGTCTAGTAAGTATCACGTGTTTTTATCTGTTTTTTTTTATCTATATTTTCAGAAAAAGCAAAAAAATACCATTTTTTAGTAAAATTTGTTCAAAACATTTTACGTTATAAAAATACACGTGATATTTGATAAAAGAGGGGGGTTTAAATCACGACATATCACCATGGGGAAGGGGCGTCCAAAAATCGATCACGTGATTAATGCACGCCTCCTTATATATGCATTCAATTCCACAATACAAAACATAAAAATAGATACACAAAATTGTCAAAATTAAATGATACAAAACGATACTGAATTTTAAATGCAATTGCGATAAAATTGCAATAAATATATCAGTACATATGCGTTTTAATTATGCAAATATTTCCCACTTTTTCTGATGCAATAACTTTCAATATTACATGCAAACATTTTTACATTACCAGAAAAAGCAGATTAAGATTGTAATATGAAATCAACATATTTACAATTTTCATTGAATATTCGAAAACAAATTAATAAAATTGAAATAAAGGCTTAATTAACGCCTAAATAATGAAACTTTCAAATAAATGCGCCTTTAACATACGAAAAAATTTCATTGATGCATCGGTGGATACTAATTTTTATATAAAGGCAAGAGTAACATTCATTTTGAACATTTTTTCAAGTGATTATTTTTGCAATTACTATTATTGCTATTCTTACCCGTGGGTAAGTGGTTAAAGCTATGGGACTTAAATCAGAAGTCCCATTTTCCATACCCACCTCGGGCAGCCTGATGTCAAGCAGTAGTGACACTGATTTTTACTTGGAAATATAAATAACAACATGTTTCCAAATGAAAACAGCCATTACCCAACAAGTATTATCAAAATTGTATTTTAGACCACTAAATTTGTTTCTCGAAAAAAACGAAAATATAGGATAATTTTTATCATGATTATTGAAATAAATCAGCTTTGGTGAAAAGAAATTAATGAAGATTAGACAAACAAGAAATTTCTTCTTATTCATAGAAAGTAGTTAATAAACTACAGTTTTGTAGACAATACTTTTCAAAATAATTGAAAAATTAATGACTAAATTGAAATAAAAATTTGGTAACTCAAATATTGCGATTGTTTCTTTTGCGTTTAGTACCTTTAAAATAATTTAGTTTCAGTATTTATTACAGTAATCAATAAAAAAAATTAATCAACTGTATCGATAAAAAATTCATCACTGTTACAGATGTAGTTAATATAAATCAAAAATCTTTTAACAAATACAATAAAAGTATGTATTTGAAAGGCCAAGAAAGATAATATAATATAATATATATTATCCATATTATTTTCAGAATGTTGTTTGGTTGATAACTTTTATTAATATAAATACTATCTATTAATTATGTAAATAGTAGAGCGTTGGTATATATTTAATTCTGTTAATATGAAAAACAAACGGTATATCATCACATGTTTCACACAAATATATGATTTAAATATTCTCTGTTAGCAACAACTGTATAAAAACTAAACACTTTACATGCTGTTTAAATAATTCAGAACATTAATTATTAAATTCACAAGTTTATTGAGAAATATTTAGGCTAAACATCAGAACATAAACTTGATGTTAATTAAAATTACAAAAGTAACAGCAGTAATGTATTATTTAATATCAATTAACAAACACAAACATTTTATCTAAGGTATGACAAAATGTTCAAAAGGCTTTGAAACTTAAAAATATCCAAGAACATTCATTGTTTGCGATTACTATAACTTGAACTACAAATTCAATATATTGTTTAAATATATTATATATTTCTTTATAAATGTACATTTCATACAGCAATAAGTTTTTACATCGCACTAAATACTAATTATTTTTAGAACACGGTAATATAAAAAGTTTCACAAAGAATAATACAAAAGTAATTTCTTGGCTTGATATCAAAATATACAAGATATTACTGAATGGATTTTTTTCTTGAAGTTTTGATCAACACTATGAATTTCTTATGTGCATTTAAATATGGTAGTAAACTTTTGTCTCTAATCGGTTCATTTTTTTCGTTGAGAATGTGATATGTCGGCTATTTAATTAATATAATTTTCTTTTTCTGATAAATTGTGATACACATTGTAACATAAAATACACATTGATCACAATTATTTTATTTCCGTAGATTTATCACATTTTATAAGCAACACATATATTAATTATTTACTTTTTTATAAACAATATCAAAATAGTATTTTAGACCACTAAATTTGTTTTTCGAAGAAAGCAAGATTATAAGATAATTTTTATCTTAATTATTGAAAGAAATCAGCTTTGGTAAAAAAATATTAATGAAGATTATATAAGAAAGAATTTTCAACTTATTCATAGAAAGTTGTTTTTCAAAATAATTGAAAAATTATTAACTAAATTGAAAGAAAAATTTGATAACTGAATATAATTGCGTGCAGTTGTTTCTTTTGCATTTAGTCCCTTTAAATTATTTAGTTTCAATTTATTTTTTACTACAGTAACATTAGCAAAATTAATATTAATTTAACGTTACCATATTAATGCCATGCACATTATGGCATTTTTTTGAGCATGTAGTTATATTAAGATGATTGTTTAGCTAATATACATTTATATGTACATAAAAACATATTTTAATTTCCCATACTTTAATATATTAATTTTTAATCCCTAAATTAATTTTATTTCATATTTTTTTTTAATTATATTTCAATTGTTCAAAAATAAATAGACATATTGAAATATAATATATGTGCTTATTAGCATATAGTTCTTTATAAATAATCTAAAATAATCATAATGTATATTTAAAGTATATGCAATTAATTATAATTTCAAAAATTA